CGTAAAAATTTTTCCCGCCAAAAATTTTTTTTTGCGGGAAAAGTGATTCCGCAATTTTTTTGCCGAAATTTTTTTGGCGGGAAAAATTTACAAGGTATTTTAAAGGTTTTACGGAGTATTTACAAGTGTTTTGTAAGGTTTTACAATGTATTTTAAAAGGTTTTACAAGGTACTTATAAGGTTTTATAAGGTATTTATAACTTGTAAAACCTTATAAAAAACTTGTAAAACCTTATAACTTGTAAAACCTTATAAAATAGCTTGTAAAATCTTATAATATCTTATAAATACTTTATAAATACGTTGTAAAACCTTTTAAAATACATTGTAAAACCTTATAAATACCCTGTAAAAACCCTTTAAAATACCTTGTAAATTTTTCCCGCCAAAAATTTTCCCGCCAAAAATTTAGCTCCAAAAAATTTGCGGAATCACTTTTCCCGCAAAAAAAATTTTTTGGCGGGAAAATTTTTTGGCGGGAAAAAATTTTACGAGAAAATTTTACAAGGTATTTTAAAGGTTTTACAATGTATTTTACAAGGTATTTTTTTAAAAAAAAAAAAAAAAAAAAAAATCCAACCGCTACCGCCCGCAACCGCAAACGCTTGCGGGAAGGAGCTTTTGAAATTCAGCGATTTCGAACGGTTCGAAGCGGTACGGAGCGGTTTCTATGATTGGTACCAACCGCTAATAACCGCAACCGACCGCTAGTAACCGCTAGGAAAGTGCTAGCGGGAGAACCAATCAAGCCCTAACAATTTGACTAACACCATTCGTGTCAATAATGTTGATTTCGGCTTACGATTAGAAGTTTATGTAGATTGTTTGAAAATTTTGTTTGTTCAGATAGAAATACATATTGTGTGTATTAGTTGATGCATAAAAAAAACACATGGCATACTATATTGAGGTTGAAATTCATACTTTTCATGTTTTAAGATAGATTTGTTTGTTTCCCTCCCCAAAAGAAAAGTGTAGATTTTTTGGCATAAAAAAAATAACCATAAACATTATATTAAAAGTAAAACCACAATAAAAAAAAAAATCTGAACCAATTCATAAAAATTAATCGATCCCGAGTTCTGAGAATTAGTCTTGATCTCTACTTTGCTATATATATAAGAACAATCGGTATACTAAAATAATAAGAATCGAATGCATTGACCTCAAAAAGAATGTAATAATAATAAGAATGCATTAAGAGGCAAAAAAAAAGATAGTCATCACATGATTCACGAGGATAGGAAAATGGTTCCAGAGAACTGCCTTTTCATTTAACAACCAAAAAATGTTTTCTTATCAAAACAAATTTGATTCATCGCAAAAGAGAGATTATTATGGTGTTTATCGTATTACAATAAGAAAACTTAGTGTAAACGTTTCACAAACAAAAAATTATAAATTAAAAAAAAAAAACACAAAAAACTAAAAATAACATAAAATTTATATGGCTTTGATTGGTCGGCTATGAGAGGATGTGAAAAAATATATTAAAAGGCTAGTTTTTTCAGCTTATGAAAATATCATCACTAGTTTTTTTTTTTTTTCAAAAGTACTATTAAAAAATCATTTTTCCCAAAATACCACATAACTAAAATAGAAAAATTTTAAACCAAAAAAATAAACTAAATTCTGACCCAAAAATACTAAATTCAAACCCAAAATTTTAAATTATAAATCTGTAAAAATTATTTTTAGTGTTTGTAGTATTTTTAATTGTTATTAACTGCAACCTGTCTCTTAGCCAATTAAGCATGTAGGATATTTTACAAATTCCATAGAATATTAAATATATTTTATATTTTATGATTACTTGTATTCTGTAATATTTTATATTATTGGTTAAATTTATAAAATCAAATATTAAATGATAATTTTTAAAGAAAAAAGTAAAATTTTTAAAATGAGTTTTTAGCGCTGCTGTATTTAGTTCATCTGTACCACAAACTCAATTATAGATATTTGGTCCACAAAGAAGCACAGAAATTAAGAACTAGTAGAATGCAATTATATCACCATTAATTTGTCCAGACAGATTCAACGGGAGCCTCATATTATTGCATAAACAAGTAGAAGTTATATACTATAGTCTTCAACCTCTCCTGGCTTTAGAATATAAAATCAATTATTTTCTGTATGCTAAGTATAAATTCTAAGCATGAGCATTCGGATATTCGGGTCGGGTTTTTCGGGTTCAGATCGGATTCGGATCGGGTATTTCGGATTCGGATTCGGGTTTTGATATGATAATAGAAAGCATCCGGATATGTGTTCAGTGTTTGAAGCGTATCTTCTGAATGACGATGAATCAAAGCACGAAACCACTTGCAGAATGTGCTCAGCTCAATTATCTAACTCCTCAAAGAAGAATCAAAGCAAACGGAGATCAAACGAATGAGTTATTCAATTTACAAATCAGGTGTTCTCCAGTTTACCAGATTCGGACCTACGCGCATTTAATGAAGAATTCCGACCACACAGAATGAACTAAGCTACAAACTGAGTTGTTCTACAATCTTGGTCTATGAGAGAAGCCCAGCAAAGTAGATTCAGCCCAAAAACATCAAAGAAGATCAATTTTCGTCCATTGCAAAGACTACATTTAATTCTGTCGATTTCTCTCTCTTACATGCACTTTAGAGTTTAAATTTCATTTCTCTAGATGTTTTGCATGTTAAGCCATTAATGTGGACGTTTTGATGTATTTCCTCTATATAATGAGGTTCATCTCATGAATAAACAAGAAGCCTTTTTGATATTTTTGGAATCCTTTGAGAGTGAGTTTTCATTTTTCGTCAATGGTGTGTAATATCCATTGGATTGGTTAATGGTGTGACCATTGATCAATACATGATCCGTCTTGGTGCGTCATATCCAGGGGGTCTTGTCGAGAGTGATTCTCATTTTCAGCCTTGAATTCGTCTTAGTGTGTCATATCTAAGGAATTCAAGTTCGGTAAATCAAGAGTTTTCCGCAGCTCTTGTGTGACCATTCGCTCCACCATCCTTGTTCTTCGTGGCTTCACCGTCCGTTGAACCTAAGGAATATCTTTTCACCGCCTTAGAGTGCCGACTCCTCGGGAGATTCTCATCAGGTTTATCCGAAGTATCCAAATATTAGAAATTTTGTATCCGATTCTATACAAAGTATTGGAAAAACACTCAAAAAATCTATAAAACCCAAATATTTTAACCCGAATATAGCCTAAAGTAGCTAAAACACCCGAAAATATCTTAACTTCCGAAAATTTTAGGCACTTAGGTTATTACGAATATAAATATTACTAATAATTTATAACTATGTACTTATATTTTGGGTATGTTCGGGTACTTGTTCGGGTTTTCGGGTTGTGAAGTTTAGAATCCGTTTGGATATTTTAAAATTTCAGGTTCGGATTCGGATCGAATTTTTTGAGTCGGATTCGGTTCGGTTCTTCGGGTTTGGGTATTATGCCCAGGCCTAATAAAATCTATTCTACGTCATGAAAGATTTTATTGTAGTTTTCTTATAATATACTGTAATAGAATATTTTACACGTAAAAAATAATGGTTTTGGACATTGATTAGCAAATTCGGATCTGCAGTGGACCACGTTACTTGCAATAACACGTGGGGAGTTGAGTTCAAGTCTATGTTGATGTTTTTTTATTGATAACTAGGGTAATCTGACTTTTTATCATTCGCCTAATATTTTTGCACTGAGTTTAAGTGGTGAGTAGTCAATTTCTCGAGTTTATTTATGGCATAACATCGTTTCGACTCGCTAAATGAAAATAGTTAAATAATTTTGTGTTCGAGAAAAATTGATCTATATCTTAAACGAACATGGCAACTCTTAATAAAACATGCTCATATAGCTGTGGTCTAGTAGAAAAGAAGAATTGGAGAAATATTATAAGGAACTAACCTATGTTCGATCCCTTCTGCAAACAAAAATCATATTTGTATGATAAGTGTGGTCTTGGGTTTTGGTCCAAGCAATTCACATAGTATCCGAAATTAGGCTAATTGGGTACTCCTAGGAATTAGTCGAAAGGCATTCCAAACTCGAGGTTAGGCTGTATAGTAGTCCAACACCTAGGTGTTCCCGACGAATTCACACGGTAACATTTCGGTGTGTTTTCTCCGAGACTGATCGGATAAAAAAAAAAAAAAAAAAACTCTTACTAAAATAGAAACCATTAAACCACTACCACTTGATTAGTGTGTTAATGTTGCAGCCCAAATCAACTTGTTAGATTACCATCAGTGGTAAAAATAATGAAACTCAGTATATTCTAGCCGTAAAAAACTCAGTTGTACATCCAAGTTGAACCGTTGGAGTGCTATACAAATATGACTATTAAACCATGACACTGCCGAAGTGTTATAAAACTCGGAATGGTGCCATTGTGGAACAACATCTTTACTAAAAAAGGGTTACAATATTTTATTTTCTTTTTGAATCTTTTTAAATTTGAGCATTGGAGGATCTTTCGGAAAGAACTTTTTGTGCTTCTAGCGATTTCGATCATTTTCTTCGTGGTACTCATCTATCTACTCCCCAATGATCGATTAAAATATTGCACAAAGAATTAAAATTTTGTCTAATCAAAAGAAAATTTACAATTTTTTTTTATATTTTTTCAGTTATCCATATATGTCATAAGCTTTATCTACATTTGATCTAATTCGTCCACGTGATGGGCTGTATTTTCTTACCTAAAGTCGTAGACTCACAAATCTATAAATCTATCAAGATTAATACATTTATGGTATACGAATCACATTATTTGATCTTTAATTAAAGTCTTGTTAGTTTTCCAAGGCCAGATCTCATCGCATCGGTAGCTACTCAAATCCCCACCCATTAGTTTCAAGTTCAACCAAAACAATTCTCACATTTAATTTTTTTTCAGGACCTTAAATTTACTAAAAAAACAATTATTGCAAAACCTACCGGATCGGGTAACCGGATATATTGTTTTAAAACCCATATGCTCTTATTTTCATGCCGATATTATAAACTGCAAAATAATGATTAAAAAAGACCAAAATCATATAGATCCACTATAAAGAGTTCACTCGACCACATTCACATAACAAAACAAAATCATACATACTCCAAAACAAAAGAAAATTTAAAATATATCCTAAAGTTTTCTTTCCTTTCGCTTCTTGTTTAGTTTCAACATAAACTTTTTTTTGCTTTCTTGATCTAAGAAAAAAAAGTTTTAGTGATTTCACTGAAAAAATGGAAGATTCAAGCTTTATGGATTTGATGATCGACACTGACGAGTATCTGATCGATGACTGGGAATCCGATTTCCCGATATACGGAGAAACTAACACCAAACCCGGTTCTGAGTCTGGATCTGGAACCGGGTTTGAGTTGGTACCAGAGAGACCAACAAAGCAAATGAAAACCAACAACAACATCAACTCAACATCTTCTTCTCCGTCGTCGTCTTCTTCTTCTTCGTGTTCGCGCACGTCACAAGTGATCTCATTCGGGTCTCCAGACACGAAGACAAACCCGGTCGAGACATCATTGAACTTCTCCAACCAAGTAAGCATGGATGAGAAAGTGGGGTCCAAAAGAAAAGATTGTGTTCACAATGGAGGAAGAAGAGAACCACATCTACTGAAAGAACATGTTTTGGCTGAACGAAAACGTCGACAAAAGCTCAACGAGCGTTTGATTGCTCTCTCTGCTCTTCTTCCTGGCCTCAAAAAGGTCAACATCTATAAACCATCTCTTTCTAATCATACTTTAACTATTTGCGTTTGATTTTATATTTTCTTTTATATATAGATTCTTTTACAAATAACCAATAGAAAGAAAAAAAAAAACTCATTTTGAAATGTAAAATTTAAACATTTTTAAATATAAATAAAAACATTTTCGTATGTTTGCTGAGGTTGGCGTTTAAATTTTACATTTTTTTTTATATATGTTTGCTGAGGTTGGCGTTTTTTTTTTTATGAAAAATGTAAATTTTAAACGCCAACCTCAGCAAACATAAGAAAAATGTTTTTATTTACATTTTGGAGTTTTTTTTTTACATTTTGCAAATATAGTATAATGAAACTCTGATTTTTTTTTTGAGTTTTTTCTTTCTCGTAGAAATCGTGTTAAAATTTAAAACAATATATAGGCTTGTAATTTTTCTTTTTTGGTGGTTCCCACAACTCATCAAATCGGGATGGTGACTCAACGTCAGTAAATATGGTACTAAATTTGTGTGTGTGTGTAGACGGACAAGGCAACCGTTCTTGAAGACGCGATCAAGCATTTGAAACAACTTCAAGAACGGGTAAAGAAGCTAGAGGAAGAGCGAGTCGGGACCAAGAATATGGATCAATCGGTTATATTGGTGAAGAGATCTCAAGTGTATTTAGATGATGATTCTTCGTCTTATTCTTCTACTTGCTCTACTGCGTCTCCTCTGTCTTCTTCTTCGGACGAAGTTTCGATCTTGAAACAAACAATGCCTATGATCGAAGCCAGAGTTTCAGGCAAAGATTTGCTGATTACAGTTCATTGTGAGAAGAACAAAGGGTGTATGATTAAGATCTTAAGTTCCTTGGAGAATTTTCGTCTTGAAGTAGTCAATAGCTTCACTTTACCATTTGGAAATTCAACTATCGTTATAACCATTCTCTCTAAGGTATGTTATCAATCTTCTAATATTTTTATTTTATCATATATTGATTTTATGTATAAATATTTTAATCTATATTTGCAGATGGACAACAAGTTTTCTCGACCTGTTGAAGAAGTGGTGAAGAACATTAGACTTGCGTTAGCTGAATAATCTTTTTAAAAACGTTTTATGTGAATTTCGCAGTGAATAAACGTGTTAGATTTGGTCCCCAATTTTGACCAGATCACTCGGTTTAGTTGAATAATGACTAGTTGGATAATAAAACCAGAGATATGCACGAAATATGGGATTTTGTCGTTTGTTGAGTGCAAAAGCTGGATTGGTGTGTGTACCTAATTATGGCTGTATCATTGGTTTGATACTTTATTTTTTTTTGTCGAAGCATTGGTTTGATACTTTGATATATATTTTTCCCCAATGTCATTGGGTTGGATCAATAATATACCTAAGAGTTTATTTTATTGGCTTCTGGTTAATTACTTTATGATTATACTTTAACCTGTAAATCTTTAACCGAAGAACGAGAAACCTATGCTAACAATATTGGGACTTCTTGCTGCTATAAGCAAATTTGATTATAAGTTCTTTATTGTGCTCTTTTAAAAGTTATAAGTTCAGTTGACCTCTATGGATTCTTATAAATTTTTATTTACTTGTATTTTGAAATAAAAATTGTTAATATAGTTACAAATTTGCTTATTGAACTAAATAAAAAATAATGTTCAAGATTTATATTATATTGTGATATATGATTTTATCCTATTATAGTCTTGGTTGGTAGACCAAATGCTATTTTAAATGGTCATGTTTTATTTTTTTTTTGGGCAAAGAAATGGTCATGTAAGTATGTACTTTTAAATTTTTTCACCCTAAATCTTTTTTTTTCAACCACACATTAATTAAAAATTTACTCTTTGATTGGTAGCCCAATCAAGAAAAGAAGAGTTTGCATAAAAAAATTCATAACTTAAAGATCTAGAAGTCTTGGCTAAATAATCGACTAGGAGATTACAAGAGCGAAAAATATCTGAAAACGAGAAAAAAAATACAATTAACTCGGAGTGCACCAAACTTATCGAGAATATTGGAAAAAGCGGACCAATTCGGAGGAGATTGCACCATAGAGACTAACTCTGCACAATATATTTTGAAAACCTGACAATTTTTCTTTTTTGAGAGAATATTCTTAATACAATCCTCCACTTCTTTTTATAATGAAAGATATAATCATTGCTTATTTTCAACATTAATCACACATTATTTGTAATCATATTATTTTATGTTTATACTAATCTTCTATATCAAAACTTTACTATTAAATAAATATTATTAATTGATTTTTTAAAATAAATATAAAAAGATTATTTTAAAATAAAGTTCATACTTGAAGAAATATATTTATAGTATTTTAAAATATTTAAAACAAAAAAAAACTTTATAAGATACAAATGGTGTCTATTTTGTATATAAAATAGACACAATTGTGACCCCATTAAATATAGACATATAAAAAATATATAAGTATCAAATATTTTTAAATAAAGTTTGTCTTTTTTTTACAGGTATAGATATGTCTCTTTTGTTCTTAATACATATAGTGACTCCATTAAAAATAGTTGTTAGCTCTGGCACTAGTTGTAGACTTGAAGTAATAAATTTTGAGACAATTTATTGTGTCTTGCGAGTGGGCTTAAATTCCCCCGGGAGACAATGATAGATAAAATATTTACTCCCTCCGTTTCGTTTTAATTGTCGTTTTAGGACTTAAATTTTGTTTCGTAATAGTTGTCGTTTTAGGTTTTCAATGCAAATGTTTGGTAAAAATTCCAGTATTATCTCTATTGTTTTAATGTTTTGGTCAATGAAAAAATTTATAGGATATATTAATAAAGGGTAAAACAGAAAATTTAATGCTTTTCTTAATTTGTGTGAAAAAACCTTAAACGACAACTAAAATGAAACGAAGGGAGTATAAGATATAGACATAAATTGACGAACAATAAATGTCATTTAAAGGGATTTTAAGAGCATGTGTAATGTAAGTCTCTCACCATAGTCCCTCAAGTATAAAAGTAATAATAAAATAAAAAATAATAATATTTAATTATGTGAGTCTCTCAAAAAAATAGAGAAAGTCTCTCAAAGTCTCTCCTACGAGAGACTCTCTCTACTTTTTTGAGAGACTCATATAATTAAATATTATTATTTCTTATTTTATTATTATTTTTGTATGTGGGAGACTTGCATTGCACATGCCCTAATGATCTTGTATAAGTTAGTTTAGAAAAGTTGTTGACAAAAAAAATTTCTAATGATCTTCCATTGGGGTTTCTACATAAAGATTTATGTAGAAGTGTATTATTATGATAGTCTTAATAAACTTGTTTTCTTCTTTTTCTTTTTTTTTTCCCTTCAAACTCTAATCAAAGTCTTCGTAAATTTGTACGTACAAATTAAATATCATAAATTATATTGAGAAAGTGTCGACATCGGCAATCTGTCATATGTGTGCATTACATGACCTAAGGGCTGAGATAATCAAATTATAATATTTTGTTCATGACCGTATCGTAACACCCTTTTCTATAAAAATACATTATATTACACTTATTGAGCATTGAAATAAATAAGAACTACTATACATATCAAAAGAAACTTTGGAAAGTGTTATGGTCCAAGTTTAGTAGTTTACCTACTCCTTAACTTGTCTAAACCCACTTGAAGTAAACTTAATAAATATCTCACTAGATGTCTCATAAAAACGATCCAAGAAGATATTCTTTAAGAGATCTTAACTCTCTACAATCATCTTAAAACATTATATAGTAGCCTAAACATAACACATTAACACCTAAATCCTAAACACAACCGTAGATCGCCCTCATTGGTTTCTCTCTAACCTAAATCGTTTCCGCTACCTAAGAAGTTACTTAGATGAACGCAGATGACTTGATACGGAAACTCTATTTAGCTAAAACGACAACGTAGCCGTTGTTTCCATCGTTCCACAGTTTTAACTTAACCTTCTGGTTTATAAATGTTTGAATATGAAACAAAACAAAACAAAAAAAAACAATTGACGAAACATACCAAGAAGATGAGAAAAAATGACGCAAGATTATTGCTCTGTTCTCACTTTTGTAACCCAAGTACACAGATCATAAACGTTCTCGTATCTAAGAACAGAGTGATTCGACGGAACGATAAAACAATCGAAGATTTTACCTAGAGGAGATGAGTTTCTTGAACCTTTTAGGATCAGATCCCAGAATACCCGCTATAGCTTTTATTGCGAAGTGTTGTTCTTATTCAAAAACTATCACTATTCCAAAACCATCACTTTCAAGTGTTTATTCACGATCAAGTCTCTTTATTTCTTCGCAAAGGTAACACCTTTCTCAATACTTCCTGAAAGCTCTTTCTTTGCCTTCTCTAATCCCATCCTGATCAATTACCAAAAACAAAGAGCGGAAAAACGATATGAACATACAAACAGGTCGAAGATAGTTCAAGATATCAGGTCGATCAAGACTTCAGCTTTTACCTCTCATATTCGTTCAATGGTCCAAGACCGTACACTTCGTCGATCCCACATCGTCCCAGACGCACCTTCGATGCAAAGAAGGGAAGCTCAGTCACCTGTATGAGGAATAAGACAAAGTCCATATGTTCATCTTTTAGGGTTAAGAAATATTTTACAGTTATAATTATGTACAGTTGATTATAAGGATTGTACATGGGATGCCACATATGCGCACTCAACGATGTTTGCATCACCTCGTAGACCCCTGAGGCAAGCATCTGCAAACTCCACTGCTGCATATGCCTGTAGTTTATCATTCAATAGATTAAAATATAAATCAAAATCCCGGATTTGTCATAAATCTCACAGACCTACCATGGATAGCGTTGCAGAACCTGCACCAGCTTTAGCCTGCAAAATGATTTAAAAGGTAAACACACCGCTTGATTCGAAGTTAGTAACAAAGAAAGCAGAAATAATGGTTATACCTCAACAACTTCAGTGCCACCGTTTTGGATGCGGTCTGTGAGATATTCAATCTCTTTTTGAGTGAATGAGCAAGGGGGTTTCACCTGTAACAGATATGATGATGAGAATAGAATATCTACTTCAAACAAACAGAAAGATGACTTCCATGTGAATCATCTGATCTCAAACCTGAGAAAGCAGCGGTAAAATTGTAACTCCTGCGTGTCCTCCAACAACCGGAACATCAACTTCACGGGGATCAAGACTCATTACTTCTGCCTATTTAAAACCATAAATGCAAAGAAGAAGATAGTTGAGTTCTAATCGCCAATAGTACACACCATTCTAAGCTCATGACATTAACCGAGTTATCATTTGATTCCTATAAAGCTACCAAAGAGCGAATTATTAGTGCATACCACAAAAGTATTAGCTCTAACAACATCAAGCATAGTGACTCCCATGAGTTTCTTTGGATCAAAGGTTCCAGCTTTCTTAAAAACCTCAGCTGCGATTGGCACCGTGGAGTTCACCGGATTACTGATTATATTCACAACTGCTTTAGGACAACATTTAGCTATAGCTTCAGAGAGTGTCCTCACGATCCCAGCATTAATGTTAAACAGATCATCCCTCGTCATCCCTGGTTTCCTCGGAACACCAGCAGGTATAATCACTAAATCCATCCCCGTAAGTGCTTCCTCTAACTGCGGTTGCCCGAGAAATCCACGAACCTAAAACAAAGTTACCCAAAAACATTCACAATAATCTCATGTATATGATCTTGAGCTCAGTTCTCTATAATAATAACAACAACAATCATCACTAATGCTCAATTTTATTAGCTATATCTATTAAATCATCATCTAAGTACTTACAACGGCACTAGTGTCCATGTGACTAATGTCTGCGGTAACACCAGGAGCATTAGCAACATCATAAAGATGAAGAACCGAAACCAAAGGATTCATCTTCATCAACATCGCAAGAGGTTGCCCAATTCCTCCAGCTGCTCCAAGTATCGCCACTTTGAATCCAGGTGATCCACCTTTTGCCCGACAAGCCACCCGATTCAAACCCGACCCGTCAACCATCTAAACCCAAATCATCCAAATCCGATCACACGAAGGAAAAAAAACCAAACTTTGATCACCAAAATTGCTTAAGAACCTGATTATCAAGATTAGGAGGATTGAGATGAGCAGAGATTCTCGCGATACGTTGGTTTGGATCCATAGCTGCTTCAACACCGAAATTGAGGTCTGAATCGGTAAAAGGGTACGAAGAGATTTATATAATAGAGAGAGATAGTGATTGAAGACGAAGATGAAGATGACGTCAGCAAAATGGATCCATGTATTGGGAAGCGTGGCAAGAACAGAGAGCTTATCTATCTTCTCAATACAAACATTTCCTATTTTAGGAAGCCGGTACGAAAATTCCGGTACAGTTTTCCGGTACGATTCAAGTTAACCATATCTTTAAAATTTAAGATAATTTTATTCCAATCAATCTCTATACTATTAAAAGAGAAGTACAAATGAAAATGGGTCGGGTTAAAATCAGAAAATTGACCCGAAATTCTGAAATCGGATCTTTGAATTTTTTTTGGAATATAAATTCGAATTAATAATGAAAAATCGAATGAAAAATGAAATATTTATGGAAATCAAATAAAATCTGATTGTACTTATGGCAACTAATTATAAAAGCATATTCCGAACAATATTATACATTAATTACGTATAATAATTTTTTTCATATATTTTTGGAACTAATTCGATAACAATCAACGTTTTTATCATTAATTTCGCTCATTTTAGCCAATTATCATTAATTGAAAGATATCTTACTTGCTTCTAAAGATTTCTAGAAAATTTATCACACATAAGTAATACCCCATCTGTTTTATAAATTAAATATATATTTTTATTTTGGTCGTGTACATTAAATAGATATAAAATCCATATAACTAATTTTAATTTAATTAGATTAAATCAAAATTATGGTATTTTCATACCTATAGCTTACCAAAGAAGTTTAATTTTCAATTTATAAAGATTTATTGAATATGATTTTAGAATTATTCAACAAGATGATAAGTATTTATTAAATTTTGTGAATCATGAAAAATAATAACTAATTTTTAATCATTATATTTCATCTTTCAATCTCTCACCTAAGAAATAAGATACATATTCTATTATTCCTATGTCCAAACTTTATTTTGTTGTATGACTAAATAATATTCCCATTAGAGCTGTCAAAGCGAGTTGATTCGTCCCGTTAAGCCCGTTTACGATAGGCAAAAAATATTTTGACTTGTAGTTGTCGGTCCGCACGATCCGCGGGTAACATATATGAAATACAAACCCGTTCCGCGAATGTATGCGGATTTGCGGGATTGTCCGTGGATTTTGTTTAAATAGTTTTAAAGTAACCAAAATTTAAAATACTACTAAAATAAATAAATAAATAAAAATACTATTATAGTTTGTTTAAATTACCACATGTTGAATAAATTATAATATTATCCATAAATACTAACATGCGGGCTGATCCACCAATCCGCGGATGAAAACCGATTAAACCTATGACCCACTGCAAATTAATCCATGTGGCTCGCTTATTTGCGTGTTTAATATATTTTCCCAAATCTACCCCATAGTAAGATGATTTGGGCTCGATCCGCGGTTTTTGACCTATTTTGACTGTTCTAATTCCTATGAATCGTCTAATTTTAGAATTTTAAGACACAAAATTCTATTTTGTAAATCATAATTAATACGATGGGTTTATTTATAAATTTTTTTAACATTTTCTCTACAATTCGTTATTATGAATATTTATAAGTATACTACATGATTCGCTCTACTAAAAACACACAATATTAAATTCAACGTATGTAAACCAATATTCCCCCGCGGTGGACCGCGGATCCGATCCTACTTTTGTACTAAAATCTTTGACTGCTTTGTTCTGTTTGCTTTCAAAGCCAGCCCAAAACAATGTTGGGCCACAAACCTATGGGCCTGTTAGGGAAATGCTGGCTCATATGTGAGATGATTGCTCCCACAATATGTAAGACAAGAATTGGATGCGCTCGACTAGATTCTAGTTCATTGGGTGGTTTTGGGTTTTACAGACTTCTAAAACATTTTGTTGCTTTTCATCTGATCCCTCGAAAAATAACACATGTAGGGCTCTGACTTATCCATAATCTTGCATGTCTCCAAGTTTTGGGAGGCATGTAATTTCTCCTTCAAAGATGAACATGTGGTAGTTTTCCGGTTCCACTATGACTGATGACTGGAGCATATTATCGATGAAATATGGATAAATTGTTTTGAGAGACGTTGCCATGGTTTGAAATTGTGTTTGTCCTTGTAATTTCGCATTTTGTTTGCTTTAGTAGTGTCTCCTTATGCAATCAATGCTTTGGCTTCTGTATAAATGAGAAAACATGCTTCTCTTATAAAAAAAATCAGTTATACTTGTTACTCGTTCGTTCTAGCTAGTAACTACATATAGTACGTACTTTTATTTGATCCGCCCAAAACAAATATTCGTCATATTAAGTATCCGCAAAAAAAATATGAATATCAGCAAATTACGTGATCAAGCTTATTATTTGTCCGAAATGAAGTGAGAATAATCTGACTAAAATTTAGTTATTGGGATTTATTAACATTATACAGACCTATGAATTTTACTTTCTATCTAATAAAGAGACAATCAAGGTATTTCTTTAATTATATGGGGCAAATCCTCATTTCCACTGCAAAAGCGAAATCACAAATAAAAACATAAGACAAAACCAACCCATGATACTCAAAGCCGACACATTCTGTCTTCAATGACAAATATTTTGGATACCAAAAGCTAAACAGATCGAATCTCTCAATTATAATTAGAGCTGTCAAGCGGGCTTGAAGTCCGCGGGCTAAGCCCAATTAGTACAGTTGCGGGGCGGGCCTGGACACTTAAAATTATGTCCATAAAAACGCGGGCATAGCGGGCATGGTCCATGCGGAAACGGGTTTAGCGGGTTGACCCGTTGCGGTTTGGCGGGTTTGCGGGTTGGTCCGCAAAAATGAAACCTTTTGTTTCTCTTAGAGGTGTCTGATACGTTTGAGACAAACCTAAAAGTCTAAAACCCTACAGAACTGATTCTTTTCTATTGTGTTACAAGGAAAGCGAAAAGTCACGCTTCCCAGTTTCAAAACTGTTGAGAGTTGGTAAAGTCTAAAGCTAGGTTGTGGACCTTGCTTGTAATCTTAGACTACAAACTAGATTGAATCATACCTAGGTGTGGGTGGTTAATCTAGTGCTTTTGAGTGTGAAAATATGAATGAAAAAGTGGATTTCTAAAATCGTTTCTATGGTTGAATAAAGAGAGAAAGTTGACTAACCTAAAAGAGAGTGAAAATTACAACAAAAACTCAAAGGCTCATATCATTCATCATCCATCACAGATTCTCAGATTCTCAAAATCGATTCAATATAATTTTCATAGAGCCACATTCAACAAAAACCAGAAAGTTGTAATGGTAAGTTACAATTACAAAGTTAGTCTATTGATTAAATTTTTAGTCATGTTCAAACTTAAAAGGTAATAGTATTTTTATTTTGTGTAGGAGTCACGTGATTCTTACGATCTTAGATCGATAGATTTGGAATCTCAAAGAGTTATTGATTTTGCAAATGCTGAACATGAGCGACAGACGTTTAATGGAGCTGAAGCATCTAAATCTCGAAGAAAGCCATCCATTGAGATTGAAGATGATGATGATGTTGATAGAGAAAAGTCACCACCACAAAAGAAGAGAAGTAAGTCTCATGAAAGATCTAAACCTAGTAGAAAGCCATCCATTGAGATTGACGGTGATGATGTCGACAAAGAAACGTCACCACCACAGAAGAAGAGAAGGCAGTCTCGTGATGATAATGATGAAGATGGTGATGATGAGGGTGATGATGATGGTGACGATGGAAAATCATCACCAAAGAAAAAGAGGAGGCAGTATTCAGACGTGTGGGAACACTTTACCGTGATTACTAAAAAAGATAAAAAAGGGGAAAAAGAAGAAAGAGCAATGTGCAAGCATTGTAAGAACGATTATGCATATAATCCATACAAAAACGGTACAAATTCATACCGACGTCATTTGGAGGTGTGTAAGCTTAGGATTAGAAGTGGTGATATTGGTAAAATGATGATCAATTCAGAAGCGAGGTTGCAAGCTAGGAAGACTTTAAGTATGATTACTTTTAGTTTGGTTTGAGTTTTAAGTATGACTTTGACTTTATGTTTGAGTTTCAGCTTTGGTTCTAATGTTTTAGACTTTGAATATTTGAGTTTTAAAAATTCAGTCTTTAAGACTTTAAGTGTTCCAAAGTTTCAGGTTTGGTTTCATGGCTTCAATGTTTCAGACTTTAACTTTGTTTAAGTCTTAAGTCGTATCGTGTTTCATTGTTTGATTTTCAATGCTTCAAGAGTTTCAGGTCTCAATTTTTTATGGTTAATGTGAAAACAAATCACACATTTAAAATTACCACACATTCACTAATCAGTCACTGAATCACACATTCAAAGATCACATTACATGTATGACACATTCAAAGATTACACATTAACATAATGCCCGCGGGCCGACCCGTTTACCTGCTGGACTTTGCGGGGCGGGTATGGACACTGTTTTCTTTGTCCGCGGTTTAGCGGGCGTGCCCGTTGCGGTCTGAAAAAATTGCGGTCAAATGCGGGTCTGTCCAGGCGGACGCGGGCATGCCCGTCTGACAGCTCTAATTATAATAAACAAATAAAATCCAAAAAGGAAGATTAACTTTTAATCGCCTGTCTAAAATCCTACCTAATCAGTATTTTAAAACACCAAAAAGTTTATATCATTTATTTAACTTATAACAAATTTCACGTTTAAATTCAAATTATGTATAACGTTTTAACATTTTTCTTTTTAGAAAATGGTGGAGTTCATAGACCGTGAATTACTTTTCAATTCATGGACTATTTTTAAATCTTTTCTTTGATATCTGATCTTTATTATATTAGATTTAGTTTTGAAAAATTTGCGAATTCTCTTAAAATAATATATTAGCAATTTAGCATGAAAGAATTGCAGGTTACCTTGTAAAATCTTATCTACATATTAGCGTAATTGTCGACTCATTGCTTGTATTTATCATAAATAGTCAATAATCTATAGATTTAGTGCAAGATTTTCAAAATCTATAGTCATTTGAGTACTTCCCTTAATTGTTACATTTCACTAGGATTGCTTTCCAAATATTCAACTTTCAGATTCTTACATCAATAAGTTGAAAAAAGTTACACCAGTAAAATTAGTTTTATGAGCTAACTGATAAATCTCAAAATAAATTTTAGTTTATATAGTAAAATATATATTTTATAAATCTTTTAAATGTGCAAAAAATAAAATAAATCTTTTCAATGTAAATTTACAGCTAAAATTTGCTGTAAGATTCAGACGTGTAATTTTAATTCAAAACCTAGCTAGTAAATAATAGTCTACACGTTTTTGATTTCCTTTAATCCACATCAACGTAATATTAAAAATTCCCAATGTTTCCATAATTACGTAACTTTCTAAAATCGTTTCATATAATTTCCAAAATTGGTTCTATCAAGAAATAGATTTGATTCTCGACTATATATATTAATAATAATCTCTTTTAACTAGTTTTAAGCTAAAACTATAATACAAAGAAGCAAAAGATGAATCATCGTCTCGCCGGAATAATTAGCCCACTTGGCCACATTACTACAGATCCAATTCGCTCCTCCTCCGTTAAACCACCGTCTCCGGTTTACTACAAAACCATAATTAACCATTTGAAATCTCAAACCGGTATCCACGTTTCACCTGGGCTTACCAATCAAGAGATCTCAGCCGTTGAATCCTCTCTTGGTTTCTCTTTCCCTCTTGATCTCCGTTCGATTCTTCAAACCGGTCTTCCGGTTGGTACCAATTTTCCCATTTGGCGAACCGGGTCGAACCGGAATCATCTCCTTCTCCCTCTTCTTAATCTGTCTCAAATCGTCGTCAGAAACGGATTCTGGGTCGATTCTTGGGGGATCCGACCCGGAAACGACTCGGAGGCTTTATTGCTCGTGAAGAAATTGATCGAGATCGCTCCGGTTCTCGTCCCCGTGTTCGGCGATTTCTACGTCCCTTCGACGACGCCAAATTTGGCGGGAAATCCAGTTTTCCAAATCGACGGCGACGGAGTCAGGGAATTGAGTTGCGACGTTGCCGGATTCCTCAAGGGACTCGGTCGATCGGAAGTGCAGACGGAGGATCGAAGACGGAGACGAAGAGTGGAGTTCTGGAGTGATGTGGCGGAGAGAGGGAGATTCGTGGTGGCGCGTGATACCACGCGCGATTGGTGGAGCGCGTTGGGTTTAGAGGGGTTAAGGGAGTGTTTGGACGACGCGTTTTGGAAGCTGAGGGAAGGAGGATGGACGGAAGATGAGGTTCGCGATATGATGATGATGGACGGTGTAGATCGAGACACGTGGTGTACTAAGCAGCAAACGCAATCGCGGGATGTGGTGTACGCGTTTGGCGGTGAGGGGATGGACGAAGGAGATGAAGACACGTGTACGGAGGAAGAGGATCACCAGAAACGCGAAGTGACGACGTTGAGGCATTTGCTGCTTTGTGATCGTTTGATGAGCTAAAATTCAATTATCATATTATAGTTCTTGTAAATTGGTAAATTTATGTGTTAGGTGAAAATTATTTTTTTGCATGACATTATGTTTCATGGATTTTAGGAGATTCTAAGCTATAATTTTGTTCCAATGTTGTGACCAAAAATATACTTGTCTTTTGGTTGTTGAATTGTTTTGGTTATATGTTGCAATATCATCAAATCTTCAAAGCATAAATTGTTTAACAAAAATCTTTATTCACATGAGATAATGAAGTTTCAAGAATTTGCTTTAAAGACAAAAATAATCATGTGTTCGGTACAAAAGAAAAGCTATAACTTATACTCTGGGAATGACAAGAAAATATGTTTAAAAGAAAAAAAAGATTACAACAAATTACAATGACACAAATTCAATTCGTAAAAAAAAAACTCTCTACTAAAACAACATCAAATGAGAGAATTTGATCAACCAGAGGAGATTTACTCAGCCGCAACACTCTCATTGCTCCCTCCATTTCCAGAGTCAGGCAAAGTTTCAAGATCGGGGCGAACATCTTTTACTTCTTGAGGAAGATTAGTATCCGAAGAAGAATCAGAATGTTCTTGAGTTACCTCTGTTTCACCATTCTTGTTGCTTTCCTCTTTCTCTGAAGTTTCTGATGTTTCCTCTGATCGCTTTTGTTCAGTATCTGAGTTGCTATTTTCTTTGCTAGATTCACTTGTGTCTTCGTCAGTCTTTTTCTCGACCTGTTCCTTCTTCTCACTCTCAGTACTTCCATTTTCTTGTGAATCGTTGGACGATGACTCTTCTTTCTCTTTTGTCTCGGTTTCTTTGTCTTCCTCTTGCGATGCAGACTCTTCTTTCTCAATCTTCTCGTGTTCTTTGCCTTTAGTTTCCTCTTGAGACGAAGACCCTTCTTTCTCAATGTTCTTGTTTTCTTTGCCTTTAGTTTCCTCTTGAGATGAAGACTCTTCTTTCTCAATCTTCTCGTTTTCTTTCTCTTTAGTTTCCTCTTGAGACGAAGACTCTTCTTTCTCAATCTTCTCGTTTTCTTTCTCTTTAGTTTCCTCTTGAGACGAAGACTCTTCGTTTTCCTTTGTCTCGGTTTCCTTGTCTTCAGTTTTTTCTTGGGAAGAAGACTCTTCTTTCCCCTTCGTCTCGGTTTCTTTTTCTTTCGTTTCCTTTTGGGACGAAGACTCGGCTTTCTCTATTTTCTCAGTTTCCTTGTCTTCGTTTCTCTCTTGAGAAGAAGACTCTTCTTTCTCCTTGGTCTCAGTTTCCTTGTCTTCGTTTTTCTCTTGTGATGAAGACTCTTCTTTCTCCTTTGCTTCGGTTTCTTTGTCTTTAGTTTCCTCTTGCGACGAAGACTCTTCTTTCTCCTTTGTCTCAGTTTCTTTGTCTTTACTTTCCTCTTGAGACGAAGATTCTTCCTTCTCCTTTGTCTCACTTTCCTTGTCTTTACTTTCCTCTTGAGATGACAATTCAGAAGATTCTACCTTCTCTTTCTCATCTTCATCTTTCCTAGTTTCTTGAGAACTTCCGTCTCCAGAACCCGTTGATTTCCCGGTCACAGAAGACTCACCGTTAGAATCATGGAACTCCTTCTCCAACAACTCATTCTTCTCCATAGATTCACCCTCAGATTTGATTCCCTCCGACGAATCCGATTCATGACCTGAGGATGAACCAGTCTTCTCATCACTACTGCTTTCCCCATTATCGGTTGCGTTAGGCAAAACACTCTTGATAACAGAATCCTCCACTTCTTCAGTCTTTATACCCGACTTGTCTTCCAATTTCTCACCGTTCTCCGACTCACTAGTCTTCTCCTCAGACTCATGGACTACCTCACTAGAAGCATCATCTCCCTTGTAATTATTCTCTCTTGCCTCTTCAATAATCGCTTTCTCATCTACATCCTTCTCTTCCGTACCACCACTCTTCTCTTTACTCTCTTCGCTCTCATCTGTACCTCCGTTTTCTTTCTTTTCCTCAACCTCACTCTCTTCGGTACCACCATTGTCTTTCTTCTCCTCAACCTCACTCTCTTCCGTACCACTCTTTTCTTTCCTCTCTTCGCTCTCCTCTGTACCTCCATTGTCTTTCCTCTCCTCAACCTCACTCTCTTCATTACCACTCTTCTCTTTACTCTCCTCATTCTCTTCGGTAGCGCCATTGTCTTTCCTCTCCTCAACCTCACTCTCTTCAGTACCACTCCTCTCATTCTCTTCCGTACCACCGCCATTGTCTTTCTTCTCCTCAGCCTCACTTTCCTCTGTCTCACTCTTCTCATTCTCTTCCGTACTACCGCCATTATCTCTCTTCTCTTCAACCTCACTCTCTTCCGCACCGCCGCCATTATCTCTCTTCTCCTCAATCCCTTCACTTTCCTTCTCCTTACTCTCTTCACCTCCTTCTACAATCTCATTCTCCTTATCATCACCACCGCCATTAAAACTCTCAACAACATTCTTACTTCCTTCATCCTCAGCTTCATCTTCAACAACACGAGGGATAAGATCTTTCCTACCAAGCTTGACAACTTTATCACCACCACCACCACCAACAACAATCTTTGCACTTTCCTCAAACTGAGATTTCTTCTCATGAGAATGCTTAACTTGATAAAGCAACCATATTCCAACACTAAGTAACAAAGTCAATTGAATACAATGCTTCACCTTGAAACCCTTTGATCTCTGTCCTCTTCTTGGTGATGATCTAAACATACTTCCTCAAAACCTAAATTCCAACAAATCAATCAATACCCAAATTTCTCCAGATCAGATCTAAGCAAATAATACCCTAAACAAATTCAATTTTTGAACATAAAAATGGGAACTTTACCAGGAAAGGCAAATCAAGAGAGCTTTTTTATTTCTGGGAAAACAGAAAGATGAAGAATTTTTGATAAAGGAAAGATTTTGATTTTTGGGATCTAGAGAGAGAAGTAGTGTTCCCGTTAAACTGCCACTAAAATCGTGCGTCCCTTCAATTGGAATCAAAAGCAAATTGCAGAGAAAAATTAGTTTTTTAAATTAAGAGAGAGCTTAACACTTGGAAGATGACATGTGAATCTGCTTTAACGTCGTCGTTTTTGTGACACCGACAGTTTATCACGACGTCGTTTCTTCTTCTCTAAGGAATGGTATTTTGGGCCTATTAGAAAAAATTTGGTCAACTATGGACCTATCAATCTTTTTAGGTCAATAACTAATGGGTTCATCAATTGTTTTTTTTTTTACAAATTCTTCAATCTTTTTATAAACGAAATTACAAATATTAGTTTTGAAAAAATAAAAACATCAGTAATATTGTATTGTTATATTAAAAATTTCTTTAAATTTTTTTATATTTAAGTTAGAACTATTAATACAAATATGTTTAATGTTTAAAAACAACCAGCAAAAAGAAAGAAACATGAAATTAATGTTGAAGACGCCAAATACGATTGAGGTGTTCCATCTCGCGTTACACGTAGTATTTGTTTAATATTTCGTGTTTTTTTTACAACAAAAAAAGTTAAAAGTTATCTACTAGTTTCCAATAGCTGAAAAAGATTACCCTGGAGTGTATATTCGTCCATCTGTTTAATATCTTTATCATTTGGTCTAAGATCTTTAAATATCCTTTTCCAAACATGCTTTTGTGTAAACTGTTGCGAAACACAGACCCATGCAAATCCATCAAAATGTCGTCAAACAATTTCATGATGAAAAACTTGCCAATACGGCCCATCCCAGATATATAAACCACTTGTATGCTATTATTCTCCACCACATGAACAACGCTAAGTTAGTAGAGAGGCTAATGATGCATCTTGCTGAGCTGAACATGTTCACGCAAACATCAGTGTCCATTTTACTAAACCTAGGCTGGTTTCTAACTAAACCGAGATCCTTCATTCAGAGAGATAGTCATGTAATACACTACAAGAAAACATAGCAATTTCCGACGAACATTTCCGACGAAATATTTAGTCGGAATTATTCCGACGGATTTCCGGGGAATTTCCGACAAACTTCCAAGAAAATAATATTTCGTCGGAAACATAAAAACTTTTCCGACGATTAAAAATTCGTCGGAATTTCGTCGGAAATATTTGTCGGAAACCATGGAAAATTCCGACAATCCAATGTCATCGGAAACTGCTCGGAAACTTGTCGGAAAATTTGTCGGAAAAAACTAGGTAAACACGTGATTATTCACTGCACATGTTCCGACGTAATCCCGACAACTTGATCGAAAAAATTAGTAGGAAAATTTGTCGGAAATATTAAAGGGAACCACTTTAGAATTTCCGACAAAATGTTAGTCGGAAAAGTTTTATATATATACTAGACAACGAAAAAATCATAAACACAAGAAAATAGTTGAAAAAAAAAAACAGACACACAAGAAAATCTTGGAAAAAAAAATGTCTTCTCATAATATTTATAAAATTAGAGAGTGGATGTATAATCGATTAGATGATGAGACCGGAGCTATGAGGCAGGAGTACAAGGAAGGTTTAATGGAATTCATGCAGTTTGCATCTAATCAAGAAATGACGCGTATCGAAGGTATTATGGCATGTCCTTGTGTCAAATGTTGTAATGATCATTTTCTTGCAAAAGACATTGTTTGGAATCATTTATATTGGGGAGGTTTTACACCAGGATATTATATATGGTTTTCTCACGGGGAGGATTTTAGATCGGGTCCTAGTAGTAGTCGTGAAAGAAGAGATGAAAACGTTATAATTAGCGATGAGCATATTCACCAGGAAGAAGATATTGTAATTGGAATTGGTAGTGGTGAATTTCATGATAACGTAGAAAATACTAATGTTGCGGAGGAACCCAACTTAGAAACACAGGGATTTTTCGATATGTTAGATGCTGCAAATCATCCGATATATGCAGGATGTAGAGAGGGTCATTCTCCTTTATCCGCCGCAACACGTATGATGAACATCAAAACAGACTACAATTTAAGTGAAGATTGCGTTGATGCGTGGGCTGATTTTATCCACGATTATCTACCGGAAGATAATTTATCGCCAGTTTCATACAACGCAATCCAAAAATTGGTATCTGGGCTAGGTTTACCATTCCAAATGATTGACGTGTGTAGAGAAAATTGTATGATTTTTTGGGGAGATAATGTAAATATGTCTCAATGTCGTTTCTGTGGTGCTGAAAGGTTTCAGGTTACTAGTGGGCGAAACAAAATACCATATAAGCGTATGTGGTATTTGCCCTTGGCTGATAGGTTGAAGAGGTTGTATCAGTCAGATCGGACAGCGGAGGGTATGCGATGGCACGCTGGACATGAATTCACCGGGGAGATTTCACATCCATCGGATGCATCGGCCTGGAAACATTTTTGTTCTACATATCCAGTCTTTGCTAATGAACCAAGGAATGTCTATCTTGGTTTATGCACGGATGGATTCAATCCATTTGGAAAGTCAGGTAGAAAATATTCTTTGTGGCCAGTAATAGTCACCCCTTACAATCTCCCACCTTCCCTTTGCATGAAAAGAGAATTTCTTTTCTTAACCATTTTGATTCCTGGTCCAAACCACCCTCGTCGTTCACTTGATGTGTTCCTACAGCCGCTTATAGAAGAGTTAAAAATGTTATGGTACCAAGGGGTTTGGGTATATGATGTCTCCACAAAGACAAATTTTAACATGCGTGCTGTATTGATGTGGACTATTAGTGACTTTCCCGCATATGGCATGTTATCGGGTTGGACAACTCATGGAAGACTGTCATGTCCATATTGTCAAGATAATACAGATGCCTTCCAACTAAGACATGGCCGGAAATCAAGTTGGTTTGATTGTCATCGTCGTTTTCTAAGACGAAATCATCCATATCGTCGTAGTAAGACGTTGTTCCGCAAGAACAAGAGTATCCGTGATCCACCGCCACCTGAGTATGATGGTGATTATATATTGAATCAATTTCGTGATTTTGATGTTGACTGTACAGCATCGGTAGGGGGTAATGGCCATGTCCGAATTGATGGATATGGAGAACATCATAATTGGCATAAAAAAAGTATCTTCTGGGAGTTACCGTACTGGACAAATCATCTACTCCGCCACTGTCTTGACGTTATGCATATTGAGAAGAATTTCTTTGACAATATAATTAACACCATTTTAAATGTCGCGGGTAAGACTAAAGATAATATCAAATCCAGAATGGATTTACCCGATATATGTGCGCGCGAGGATCTCCATTTGCTTGCAGACGGAGTAGGTCCTATTCCTATATGGAGATTAGATGCAAGCAAGAAGACCAAGTTTTTTCAGTGGATAATTGATGATGTTAAATTTCCTGATGGCTATGCATCAAATCTATCATATTGTGTTGATGATCACAGTGGTAGATTAGCTGGGATGAAAAGTCATGACTGTCACGTCTTCATGCAGCGTTTACTACCATTTGCGTTTACACAACTCCTACCAAATGTTGTCCATGAAGCAATTGCAGGTACAAACAACTTATCTTTCAATTATTTTAATATGTTATTATTCATGTATATATTCTTTTTTTGTTTACAATTATTAATTAAATTGCAGGTATAGGTGCATTTTTTAGAGATTTGTGTTCAAGATCTCTAACAGTCGAAGGACTACATACACTTGAAGATAATATCCCGATTATCATTTGCAATTTGGAGAAATTATTTCCCCCATCATTCTTTGATGTCATTGAGCACTTGCCTATCCATCTACCTCGTGAAGCAGCACTAGGCGGTCCAGTTCAGTACCGGTGGATGTATCCTTTTGAGCGTTTTATGTTCCATTTGAAGAAAAAAGTTAAAAATCTTAGCAAAGTTGAGGGATCAATAGTAGCTCAAAGCATAAACGAGGAGACTACTCATTTTTCGGCCTACTATTTTGCTCCAAATGTCCAAACAAAAGCAAGAAAACCAGGTAGGTACGATGATGGGGGTGTGCGGCCTTTTTACCATACATCTGTCCCAGATATCTTTTCTCAAATCGGGAGACTGAGTGGGAAGAAAAGAGAAGTATGGTTTACAGATCAAGAATTTAATCACATTCATACTTACATCCTCCGGAACTGTGACGATGTCATACCATTCGAGAAGTAAGAAACAAAATTCATACCTTAATAATACGCATATATTATTTGCAAAATAATTACTTATACAAAAAAACAAATGTCTGTAGGATCTTTGATGATCAAGTGTCTGGAGCGTATCCAAACATGACAGAGGCTCGAAAAGAGGAAATGAAGCAGACACAATATGCTAATTGGTTAAAATATTATGTAAGTTTTCACCGTTGATTTTACATATATTATGAACATGGTTACTATTTATTAAAATCGTACATTTGCTTGTATGTTTTGCAGATCAAATCAGCCGCAAGTAGGCAGGAACACTATCCAACATGGTTTGAAGAGTTGGTTGGAGGTCCTCTATCAAGGGCAATGGCATACCCGATGTATTGCACTCGAGGCTACGTTTTCATAAAACGTCCAGGGATTACTAACAGAAAAACAGTGAATTATGGGGTCGTTGTTCGTACAGATTCGATAGACTACTATGGTGAAATTACTGATATATTAGAGGTTGAATATCCGGGAGTCATAAATTTGAAATGTATACTCTTCAAGTGTGACTGGTATGATCCTAGAGTTGGAAGAGGTGTTAGACTTACAAAGTATGGTGTCACAGAGATCAACTCGACTAAGCAGTTAAGAAAGTACGATCCGTTTATACTTGCATCTCAGGCAGCACAGGTTTGCTACATACCATATCCACAAGTAGGTGTTCGACAATATCCATGGATTACGGCTCATCAAATAAATCCAAGAAGCAGAGTTGATGGGGTGAAAGAAAAGGAACCGCTACAACAAATTGCAGTAAACGAAATTACGCAAGTAGATCAATCTGTCGGTGACATTCCCCTCGTTGATATTGAGAACATAGAAGTCGAACAGATATGGGAAAATGCGGAAGACGAAGAGGATGGAGAAGAGTTTGAAGATCAA